AGGCTCAGGGAGATTGGGTGCAGTGGGGCTCTGGAGGCTGGCACTGGGGGATAATGAAGGGATGGGGGAGTTCTAGGAGTTTATAATATAATATATGGAAATATACCATCTCATAGAACTGGAAAGGACCTTGAGAGGTCATTGAGTCCAGTTCCCTGCCCTCACAGCACCTGACAGATTTGCCCCAGGTCCCTAAATTGCCCCCTCAAAAACTGAACTCACAACCCTGGGTTTAGCAGGCTAATACTCAAACCACTGAGCTATCCCTCCACTCCTATAGGCACCAACTTCCAGGACTTGTTCGATCTTAGCTCCCAGTCATGCTCTACCTCCAGGTCCAGGGCCAGCCTTCCTTCATGCTTCCAGCCCCACTCTACCCTCAACCTCATTTAATCCCCCGTTTTGCTCTGCCTCCAGACCAGATCAACCACCAGTCTCTGGGGAGTGGAGTGCCCTGGCCCAGCCCCAGCCTGCTGCCCCAAATCCTGCATAGATCAGGGGAGCAGCGCACAGCAGGCTGGAGCTGGGACACTCCGCTTTTTGCTGCTGCAGTGATTCAGAGGGACCTGACTGGTAGAGGCCTGCTGTGTGTGTTGCTCTGTTCCCTGGGCTCCCACCACTGAACTGAGCAGGGGGAACCCCTGCTGCCACCATGTGCCAGACCCCCCCTCAGGCTGCCCAGAGCCCCATAGGCTCTCATCATTATGGGGGACTGCCCTGTCCATAGGATGGCTGGGGCACCCACCACGGCCCCCACCCAAAGTATAGGGTGTGGGGTGGCTGCCCCGAATCATCCTCTGGACAGAACAATTCTGCTTAAATACATTACACTTCAGAGACTAAATATCCTCCTCCCCCAGCCAAATGATTTGCTCAGTAAGGGTGCATCTACACAGCAGTGTTATTTCAGAATAACGGACATTATTCCAAAATAACAATGTGACTGTCTACACAGCAAGTCCGTTATTTCGAAATAAATTCAAGATAATGGATGGCTTATTCCTACTTCTGTAAACATCATTCCACGAGGAATAACTCCTCTTCCAAAATAGCTGTAGTATGGATGCTTCACTGATGCTATTTCGAAATAGCTTTCTCTCAGGGCCATTCAAAGTAATTACTCCCTAATGCTTTCAGGGGCTCTAAACTGAGCTAGCACATCCACATTAGAGGAGTCTGCCTCGGACTAATTTTGAAGCTTCCCTGTAGTGTGGACGTGCTATTTCGAAATAAGCTATTTTGGAGTATTTTTTCTGGAATAGTTTATTCCAAAATAAGTGTGCAGTGTAGATATACCCTAAGAAGGCATAAGTACTGTAGCACATTTGTATCGTCTACATGCATGAATTCTCAGAATCTTTCTTTGAAGCAGTAAGTAGTTCTGCTAACTCATTTTGGAGATAAGTGATTCCGGCTACAAAATCAGAGATAGTCTTTGTAAATCAAGAATTCACAGCCCCTGGTCCTATGCTCTGTCCTCTAGGACAACTTTGTCTTTCTTTATGGAAGCTTTACCAAGTTACATGACCAATAAGACGTGTGTGCGGGGATGGGGGGAAGGGGTATTCTTTTCCCCCTCCCCCATCTGACTAGCTATATAGGTACGTATGTGGACTGTCTCTCCCCATTACATCTGAATACGTACCCCTGACAACATATTGTTATTAGCATAGAAAGAGCTAGTTCCCTGATGCAGCTCAGCTTTTCTCTAGTGGTTTCCCTGTAGAGAATCAAGAAAATCAAAGATCTCTGTGGTGAGTTACCAAATCTTACAATGAAGAGGTTACCAAAAAGCATTTTAGCAAAGGACAGGTACTTGCCAAAACTACACATTTAACCTGGAAAATCTCTCTCTCGTAAAATTTTCCAATTCTCATTTCAGTGTAAACTAAATTTGGATCCAACAAAGTCTGTATGTAGAATATTCTAAATTCTCTCTCTCACGCACACAGCACACCTGTGGAGCCTTTTACCCACCAGGAAAACTTAATTTTGATACAGAAGGACTCCTAAATTGTTAATAATTCAATAATTATGCTATTCCCACTTCTGCCTGATGTCACACAGTACTGTACTCCAGTCACATGCACTGCTTCTCCTATCTCACAGATGACCCAGTAGATATTGCACCACGTTTGCTAGCCACAGGTATAGGGTGAATAGGTAAAGAGATGCCCCTATTCTTAGATGTTAGTTATTACGGGAAAAGAAGCCATCTTCCCCACAAAGTGAAGTAAATAACTTCTTTTCCCACAAACAGGACAATTCAATTTTAAAATATCCACAGCTATACCAGAAGCTAGGTTTTCTCCATTTCTCTAATTGTAAATCCTATCCCACCACAAGTGTTTAAGATGGAGAGGCAAGTGGATCATCCATAATAGGAATAGCAGGTACATATTAATGGCTGGTTCAATATGCATAGATGGGGAGCAGTACAGAAGACAGGATCTTTTTCTTTTAAAGTTACCTATCAGTGAGAAGCCCTAACGGTCAGACCTCTATTTTTTGCATCTGAAAACAAAATTAAGGGAGAGAGAAAGCTTGGAGAGGAAGTTTGGAGAACTGTGATAGGAAAAAGCAGACAGGTACGAAACAGAACAAAGAGATGAGCAAAGGGAGATTCAAACAGGAAGTGAACTCTGAACTGCCCTAGGAGAAATAAAGTTTAGTTTTCACTTATAAAAAGAGGGAGAAAAGAAATGGAAAAAATGGTTCAATAGCAGAGTGAAAGAAAATGGATTTTTATAATACTTTCTGTATTTTATTGCATTACGATGTTAATAGCTAGGATGGGACTGGAATGAAATTGCTGCTGCTGAGTATGCAACAATATTATTCTGATGTATAAACATGGAACTTTATTAACTGGGCAGATATTTTTTAAAACTCTGTCACAGTGGCAAGAGACTTTCAAGGCTTGCCTATCAAGCTTTGTACAGAATTTGGGTTTCTTTTTAATAGTAAAAAATAATAAAGACTCATCTTCTTCTAACTCCTGAGTTTTCCAAGATCAAAATACTGACACCACAACTTTGGTTACAAGATTTCCTTTGCAGAGATAGATCAGCAATTCTTAAATTTTCTGCATGTCCGTACCTCCCTGCCATGCAGCTGGGATCTACCCAGAACCCTGCATATGAGAAATCACAGCTCTCACAGTCAAGGACCCTTAGTGTAGATCCTAAGAACTTCTTGTGTGCATCTGTGTAAATGCTGCACACATGTGGAACCATCAACTATCTTACACAATCCTCCCCCTCCTTGTATTTGAACATAGAATAATGCTATATTAATTTATAACATAAAACTAGAATGATTTACAGCATGTAGACATAATAAACTTTAGTCTTCTCCCTGTGCTTAAGTCAATTTGATGGGCTCTTGTACATATGGAACTTGTACAATATTTATTTTGTTAGCATCTTATAAAAAGTTATTATTTAAACCATTAGTCAATCCTTTTCAATTACCTCACTTCATTTTGGAAACAAACAGGCTTGATCTGGACAGACATCACTAATTTGAAATAGCTGCGGGGGGGGGGTAGCCCACTGTTATATAGAATTTTTTTAACTGATTAATATTACTGTGGATACGGATTTTCTGAATACAGCATTGCTATTAAAACAGCAAGACACACTGAACTTTCAGTATACGGAACTGGCAAAGACTTTAATAAAAATTGTGCTCCACTTACATGGGAGCATTTTACATTTAACAAGCTTATTGTTGTATACTTCTCACCTTATAAAATCATAGCTATGCACTTCCACTGTGTCTGTATTTTATTTCTTCCATTGATTAAATTATGCCAGTACATTTGCATAGTGCTGCACAGAGCTATGAGTCCCACTATAAGAATGTATTTTATCTTATGGAGATCAAGCTTTGTCTTTGGAATGCAAAACTGCTTTGTACCCTGACATAATGGTGTAAAGTCATCAGGTGCCCAGTTATAAACATCCAGGTTAATCAAGAGTCTATATGAAAACAAATGCGCTGATTTGAAAGATGCATTCATTTTGTCATTACATGAGTGAAATCATATTTCACATTTATATAGCACCCTTTCAAACATCATGCTTCATATGTACAGGACTATGGGTGAAACCCTGGTCCCCTGCTGCAGTAGCACAAGAAAGATGGAGGAGTCATCTAGGGAGTCCTCTTGGGTAGAAAACACATTGGCAGTGTAAAGCCAGCATAATCTGCTGGCTCCCACACAAGTATAGGAGGTATGGTTAGAGCCTACTCTGCTCCAGCTCTAAGAGGTTACGTAATAACCCTAGTTGGTGTTCCAGCTGGCACAGATTAGATCCCGGTTGGGCACTGAACTGGATTGCACTGTATCCTACTGAAACTACAGGTGAGAATGTGTGTGGACAGAGTCAGACATTGTCCTATTTAATGTGGTTTCAATGAGTGTTTGTGTGAGGTCACAGGAGGCCCTTTCCAACTCTCATGTGAATCATTGAACCTCTCACAGACTCAAGATGTACACAAAAAAAGAAAGTGGATCTTTTTGTTGTTTCCTTTACATACAGTGCTATTTAACTGCAGTAGCCTCCCATCTGATTAGAGACAAGTAACTCCATCACAGTAACCTACACATAGAGGGGAAATGAGGCTTTCTGGAAACCAGTTGGAACAGCTGGTGCGTAGTGGGGAGTAAAATCAAGACTGCTTTTTTTGGGGGGGAGGAAGAGTGTGAAACAAAAGACACTTTGTCTAAAATCTGGCAACAGCAGTCAAGTTAGATGGATAGATTATTGGGGGTGCTCCCCTGACAGGCTATGTGATCAAAAGGGCCCTTGAAAAACACACCATGTTAATACTACAAAAAAATTACACTGAGGATCACTGTCTAAGAATATAAGACTAAAGACTCATCTGTCTTAAAGTCACTTTTCCCACATAACAGTTTCTTGTTTGCCATGTGTATAAAGATTGTAACAATTAATCATTTAGACGGGAACAAATATTTATTCAGGGGCTACCTTAACGTTGAATGTTATTTCCTCCATGACGTAAACTCGTTCAGGAAATGCTTTAGCCACCTCCTCCACACTGTTAAAATACTGCACTGGCTCCTTAATATCTCGATCTTGTTCCAGCAGCTTAAACTGCCCTGAAAACAGATGATAAACAGAAGAGCAGTAAGATATTTACATTGGACAGCTGTCACTGTGGCAACTGCTTGCTCACTCTTTCACTATTATGCGCAGTCAGTTTCATCTGATTATTAATAGTTAAGCAACAACAGAGGAGATTGCAAAATAATCTTCATAAGCTTGCACAGGAAAAGCTACCAAGTTTCACTAACCCAGAAATATAAGAATGTGTGGGAGGTGAAGTCTAATTAAAAAGGAATCTTTTATCAGACGCTCTTTCTAGAGCTGGCAAGTAACTACTACATGTCTATACTTATCTTTTATAGCTTCTGTGTAAAAAGCTCTTAGAATACTTCAATTTAAAGAAAACATTAAAAAACCTCGTGCTACAAAGAAACCAATAATAGTGCTGAAATTTTTAAAGTGTCAGTAGACTGCAGTACAAGAGTTAAACTAAAATCCATCTCCTTAGGCTTACACCATATTTTGACAATAGTAGTGGTTGAATGCTTTCCACATGAGCGTTTCCATTTCAGAAACAATGTTTCAAATAACTTGTTAGAGCTAGTCAATCTGTCTGTCTCTCTCTATTTAAAACCCTGTAGAAGACATAGTATTCTCATTCTAAAGTAAATAAATTATGAAATGTTGGAAATAAGTGTTCCCTGCTAACTGTATCCTGAACCACATAACAGACATTTTAATTTTATTGGTTTTCTAAATGTCACAGAAGACAAATTTCTGCCAAGACCTTATACTGTGGTCACAACCAGGATTTTGGGAGGAATGTTTATACAATCCTGAATAGTCATCTCATTCACTGCGTTTCTTTTTATGCACTATGAAAGCACAAACTGAAAGTAAACTTTTGCTGTAAGGAGCAGTAGCTAAAGCTGAGATAGACACTACATACATTTTCGGTATATTAGATAAAGGTAATCAGTGGAGTGATTCTCCCCCATTTTTGAAAAACACCGATTAGTATCCTATGAGATATTCCCCATCAAAACACAGTACCATGAAACCTGCCTTAAGCAAGGATTCCACACAGAAAAATTGGTTGCTTAATTTAGATTTTAAATAGCTAAAATGTGCTTATCCAAGGCTATAGGTACCCTCACACACCATTAACAAATACAAGAGCATCAAAATTATCAATTAAACAGGAACTCAACTAGGCAACCACCTAAAAATGCTCTCCTGCTCCATCTAAGAAACACACTCTCTGACCTCTCCAAAAACCTTATTAGATGGGCATCTTTTGGAGCATACCAGAAATTCCCCAAATGTTGACTGCTTTGAACCATGGGGGGCAAGAAAGCAAACCCCAGAGGGCTAACAGCAGCCCCCTTTCTTTTATAGTCATGGGATCCATTCCAAAGTGTCCCATCTGCCTATAGCCCTGTTTACAAATGTAGGCTAATAAGGTCACTGGATACTTTGGGTGAACTCACAAGATAGGAGTTTGCCCTTCTTGTATATTTCATGGTAACTGTAAGGTACCATAGGCAGGGCTGTTAGCATTGCCTCTTAAAGCTCCCTGACATTTCCCACTACAATAATACTGTTTTCAGTTGCTTATAAAATTTGCCAAACTGTAACCATTTGGACTGACATTTTCCATTATGGTTGCTGGGAAAAATTTAACCAAAATTAGTTTAGCTGTTTCCAAGAATGAAGCTAGGGACAAATAAGTTGTTTTGCCCAGGCTAAACAATTCTGACAGCCTTTTATTTGAGAAACTCTAGATTTCCCTACCTTATAGCGGGGCCAAGTTGCAAGCCTTTGAAGAGTCATAGCTTGCACATGATGAAAAGAGACTTTCTGGAGCTTAATATAAACTCTCCAGAGGTTCCTTTCTCAGTGAGCATACTCCAGCATAGGGCTGAACAGGATTTTACCTACAATTACAGCGTTAGGGAACTGTGGGACAGGTCAGGTCTAGATCCAGGCATTAGAACTAAAGTAGGGTGACTTTCACTCCTGTGCTCTCAATGATTCCTTGCCTGAGCAACCTTAATTCAGACCCTTACACAAATGTAATACAATATTGTCTTTAAATACATGATCATACACTATTTAGCATACTGGAGATTAGAGCTTCCAAGAGCTTTAAACAATTAATAACAGTGACAGAACACGATTTATTTACAATTTTTGGATGTTTTCCTCATTTTCAAATATATTGATTTCAATTACAACAAATAAAACAAAGTGCTTACTTTGTATTTATTTTATTGGAAATATTTGCATTATAAAACAAAAGAAATAGTATTTTTTCATTTCACCTCATACAAGTACTGTAGTGCAGTCTTTATCATGAAAGTGTAACTTAGTAATGTTGACTAATGTACAAAAAGTAACTGCATTCCAAAATAGAAACTATAAAACTTTAGAGCCTAAAAGTCCACTCAGTCTTATTCCTTGTTCGGCCAATTGCTCAAACAATATTTCCAGCAATTTTTTAAAACTAGCATCGTCAGAATGGAAGCATGCCCTCTGGAATGCTGGCTGAAGGATGAAAGGACTTACGAATGTTTAGCATCCCTGGCACGCAAATAGCTCGCAATACCGACCACAGCAGTGTCATGTGAATGCCTGTTCTCACTTTCAGCTGATACTGTAAACAAGAAGTGGGTAGCATTATCTCCTGCAAATATAAACACACTTGTTTCAACTATCAATTGGCTGAACAAGAGGTAAGACTGAGTGAACTTGTAGGCACTTAAGTTTAATATTATTTTGTTTTTGAGTGCAGTTATATCACAAAAACAATCTACACTTGTAAGTGTATTTTCATGATCAAGAGATTGCATTATAGTACATACATGGGGTCAGCTGAAAAATTCTATTTCTTTTGTAATCAAAAATATAAAGTGAACTTAATATAACTTCATATTCTGCATTGTAATAGATATCTATTTGAAAATGTAAAGAACATCCAAAACATTTAATAAATTTCAATTGGCATTTAATTGTTTAACACTGATTAAACTGCGATTAAATGTTTTGAGTTAATTACATGAATTAACTCCAATTAATTGACAGTCTTGTTAGGTATACTTGTTCTGCCTCAGTGAAAGGGACTGGACTAGAGGACTTCTTGAGTTCTCTTCCGGTGCTACATTTCTGTTTTTCATAGAATCCTAGGGCTAGAAGAGACTTCAGAAGGTCATCAAGTCCACCCCCTAACCAAAGCAGGACCAATCCCAACACAGGATCCGTGCCCTTTCAGGATGTGTCTACTCTGCATCCTGAACTCGAAATAAGTTATGCAATTTGAGCTACACAAATTGTGTAGTTTATTTTGAGTTAATTTCAAAACAGAGTGCTATTCTGAAACTCCTTTAATCCTCAGAGGTTAACAGGGATGTTGGAATAGCGAGCCCATTATATTTTGAAATAACGGGTGTATGCAAAAGACATGGAATAGCTATTTTGGGATATTTCTGGTATCCTAAAATAGTTCCGCAGTGTAGACATAGCCTCAGGGTATATAGCGAACCAGTTCTGGGGTCAGTCAGTCTGTTTTGTAGTGAAGGAGAATTTTCTGTAGGATCCCTGGTTCATTTGTTGCAGAAGTTGGAAGGTATGTAGTGAGAAAAGGACAGTGAAGTATTATCTTTTATTGAATAAACTTTTCAGAACTAAGGTGCTTGAATCCCTTTGGTATATATGGTCATGCCAATTTTCTTCCACAATTTGATCTGAGGAAGTGGGTCTGGCCCATGGGATGAGGGGGCAAGAAGGGGTTGTCCCAGGCCCTGCCACCCTCCCAAGGATGGCTTTGTCAGTGGGGCTTGGTCTCTCCCTCCCCTCCCGTCTCAGGCAGTGTGGCTCAGGAGTTCAGGTGTCAGTCCCTCCTCTTAGAATCATGTAGTATTTTTTGTTATCAGAAGGAGGTCGCAATGCAATGAAGTTTGGAGAATCCCTGACCTAGAGCATGGTATCTGATGCAGTGAAAATAAGACAGTGTTAGGGTTTCCAGGTGTCCAGTTTTGAACTGGACAGTCCCATAGTTGAGCTCTCTGTTTGGGAAACAAATTGAGAAAAATATAAATGAGAAAATATAAATGTTCTTTATTTTTTAAATAAGATGTAATGTCGATCGTGATGTAATGTCAAGTGTATCTGGTGTTTTTGTTGAAACCATCTGGCAACCCTAGACAGTGTATTAAAAGTGCAACACTACCTTAAAATACCATCTAAATAGGCCGAGAAATGAGATTATTTCCATGCAAAGGCGCTGGTAATGAAAATGGCAAATGCAACAGATGAAAGAGATAAACATGGAGACCCGAAACAACAAATTGCTTAGAGCAGCCATCCTTCCTTTGGATAGTACCAAATTTGCTAATTTGGGGATGATCTGTGGATCCCTATCAACAAAGACAAAGCAGTGAGTGAGACAGAAGATCAGCATTTTCCTCTACAAGTTTTGGGATCCACTCTCCTGTAAAAAAGTCCAGACTCCCTTAAACAGTTCCAAACACAACTCAGAACAGAAGAACACAGTGCAATGAGACTACTAATTATGTTTCTTACTGTAACAATTCTTTCCACTTTTATAGTTAGGGTTTTACTGCTATGAGTTCTAAAAATCCCTGTTTGAATATAAACACTGGTTAAAGGTTAAAAATATACCCATTCCCAGAAAAAAAATGTAAAAGTTAACTCAAAAGCAAATGTGAAACCAATTTGTTAAATCAGTACAGAAATTCTGTAACAGACCATTTTGTGTACAGTGCTTTTGAACCACCAAACTGAAAGGGTGGAGGTTTTAGAGAAACATCTGCTCAGATATGTTACTTGTCAAACCCTTCTCTAAAAAAGAAGCTGTACTGTCTTTCAGAAGCGTTGATTATTTAGTCAAATCTACAAGTGAGTTATTCCATCTGCAAGGCCCAATGTTGTTCAAGAATTAATAGACAGTACATTGAAATAGCAAGAGAGAGAAGAGAGTTTTATGTTTCATACTGTGTTTAGTGTTAACAACACACTCAGCATTGTGCAGAAC